GTTCGGACACAAAGGCAAGACTGAGTAATTGGATCGGATTTGTCAGGTACGCATTTCATTTTTGACTCGTTATGCGCCGTCTTGGCATTCGAGATAGTATTTTAGGCAGTAAGTCGTACAGTCCATCGAAAATTCCGCGCGTTGTGACACTTTTCTGCGTCGTTCACGCGAATCGTAGCATGGCTGCTCGAGCAAATGTATACCATCTTTTGTCGTCAATTTCGTGAATTCAAACGCGAGAGTGCGGCAAGTGTCTGCGATGCTTGTTCGAGACAACGACACGGAATTGATCGTGCGTAAAACAATGCGCGTGGCAGTTGAATTTTTTCACGATCTTGTCGATGAACGTTCGCGATTGTTTTCGAGCTCCGCGGGTAATTATTTATTAGAATATCATACCCCACCTTTTACATTGTTATTACATTGTTATACATCGGTGGAACGTATTTGATATTATTTTATTATTTAAATATTTCGTATTAATTATACAATGTGATGTCAAAAGGCAAGAAGTAAAAAGAGGTTTTTACTAGCGTGGTTTTTTTACATAATCATTATTCAATTATTAATCTTTATTCAATTATTCGTATTTATTATCGTAGTACATTTCGCGGTTTGCTTTTGGCATTTCTGGCACTTGTTCAATAGTATATTACTTGTTCAATACTATATTAAATAAGAAATAAGTCGGAAGTGTAGTTATTTAAAATAATGAATACTACTCGTATAAATAATTCTTTTAATTTTTTATTTAAATTGTATACTTTAATTTTCATCGCTTTTACGAGTATATAAAAATTTTTTAATGGTTCTTACGTGTATCTCGACATCTTTAGAAAGTACTTGTCAAGTTGTATATTTATAACAAATTATGTATAAATTGTTATAATTAAATATAGTTAACAAAATGGGAAGTATGTACTTTTTCATACAAAAATGTAAAACTCTGAAACAAAAATATCAACTTCAAGATACTGAAAAATACTTGTTTTAAACGTAATTAATAATTATTCGCGTGGGGTATTTTTGATATTCCAACGTTACGTCTCAATTTTTATTATTTCTTTTAATGATTCATATTTAAATAAAGGTTGATAGAATATTCTATATATGTTCCTTTATGATACATGCAAATTTTCTTAATATCGTAAAATAATTTGTGCTAATTGCAGCTTTGGCTAAAAGTACTAAATATCTTGTTAATCATTATTTAATTTTTCAATTAATAAATTAATTTAAGACAATATTGTTACTGCAAATTATCTGTGTTTCAGAAATTCTTCAAACTTACGTATAATGCCGATAACGCCTCGATAAAATAACATGTAAATTATTTAAAATAAAAAATATAAAATAGGTTCCGGAAACATATTAAAAATGTTAAATAAGAAATAAGTCAAAAATGTAATTATTTAAAATAATAAATATACTAAATAACTCTTATAATTTTTTTATTTAAAATATATACTTTAATTTTCAGAGCTTTTATAAGTATATAAAAATTATTAAACAATTTTGACGTATATTTTGACATCTTTAGAAAGTACTTGTCAAGTTGTACATTTATAGTAAATTGTATATAAATTGTTACAACTAAATATAGTTAACAAAATGAGAAAAATGTACTTTTTTACACAAAAATGTAAAACTCTAAAACAAAAATATTTTATGAAAAAATATGTTTCAATATCTTAAAATCGACATTCTAAACGACAAAACAAATAATCATTCAAGTGTTGGCTGTCCAAAAAATTTAATTATTTAGTAACTCGAAAATTATATTTTTTAATAAGCACGAAGAAACTATGTCAAAGGTTGGACAATATATTACATTAAATAAATTGTTAAATATTACGTCTCCTTTACATGATAGTTATCGAAACTTTCTAGTTTCTTCGTTTAAAGATGAAAAAAGTCGCGTCAACTGGATAAGTTTCTTAAAATCGTAAAATAGATGAAGTCAGTGGTCAATAAGAGTCTCGAGGTACATCTATGTATAAATATAAATTAAATTAAATTGAAAAAAAGTATTGTACCGAAAAAACGGAGTCAAGGTTTAAAAATGCATATTATACGTAACAATATATATCTGTTTTCAATTTCCATCATTTATCGATAAGCTTTTGCTCTGACAAGAAGCCCTCCCACCGTTTTGGATATATCTTTCTACAGATTCTGTCTATTGAATCTATATCTTGAAAAATTAAATAAGTTTTTAAACATTGACTCCGTTTCTTATTACTGCAATAATAAAATGCATTGTTCAAAATGCAAACGCAATATATCTTCAATTTCTAGTTATTCATGCTTATTAAAGAACATAATTTTAGGAATACTAAATAATTAAATTTTTTGGACAACCAACACTTGAACGATTTTTTCTTTAGTCGCGAGAGTAATCACTAGCTGAAATATTGTCCCACATATTACATGACATTATATGATTTCATCTGATTACAAATAACTTTTTTCACTACATATCAAGTTATTTGGTAAAATATATGAATTTATTAAATATTATACAACGATTTATCGTAGTTGCTTATGTAATTATCGGATTATACATAGAAATTTCATATTAGAATTTTATAATGATTTCGAGGACTCTGTCCCACGATTACATTAAGTGGTTACCACCTTGTCTTTTGTAGTTTAGAATGTCGACTTTAAGATGTTGAAATGTATTTTTCTTTAAAATATTTTTGTTTCAGAGTTTTACATTTTGGTATAAAAAAGTACATTTTCCTCATTTTGTTAACTATATTTAATTGTAACAATTTATATACAATTTGTTATAAATGTGTGCAACTGTATAAATACTTCCTAAAGATGTCAAAATAAACGCAAAAATTGGATAATAATTTTTATATACTTGTAAAAGCTCTGAACAGTAAAGTATATATTTTAAATAAAAAAATTAAAAGAGTTATTTAGTATTTTAAATAACTACATTTCTGACTTATTTCTTATTTAATATTTTAAATAAGAGTTTCCGGAATCTATTTTATATTTTTTATTTTAAACACGTCGTATCAGTTTTTTACGGATTCCTACGATTTTATATTTTAAGTAAGTTTCTGAAGCTTATTTTATATTTTTTATTTTAAATAATTCGTATGTTATTTTATCGAACCGTGATCGGCATCATACGTAAATTTAAAGAATTTCTGAAACACAGATAATTTGGAGTAATAGCAGGGTCTTAAATTAATTTATTAACTAAAAAATTAAATAATAATTAACAAGATATTTAGTACTTTTAGCCAAAGCGTATTTAGCGCAAATTGTTTCACGATATTAAAAGAATTTGCATGTATTTTTACATAAAGAATATGTATAGAATATTTTATCAATCTTTATTTAAGTATGAATCATTAAGAAGAATAATAAAAACTGATACATAATGTTGGAACATCAAAAATACTCCACGCGAATAATTATTAATTACGTTTAAAAGAACCGTGTAAGTAAAATAGGATTGAACAAGTGCCAGAGATGCCAAAATCAAAGCGTGAAATGTACGACGATACCCGTTTGTCACAATCATGTAAAGTACAAATAATTGAATAAAGATTATGTAAAAAAAACCACGCTAGCAAAAATCTCTTTTTACTTCTTACCTTTTAACAGCACATTGTAATTAATACGAAATATTTGAAATGATAAAATAATATCAAATATGTTCCACGGTGTATCACCATGCGTAATTACGTTATCACATTAAACGACTCGCGTCGCTAAAACTTGTAGATATTATAAGAAGTTGTTTCATTAATTCCGCGACGAAATACTAATTTATTTCACATAATATAAAAAAATCAAGTTTTAAATATATTAATATACGGAGCTCGTTCGTATTTAAGAAATAAAGATATTAAAAAGCATTTTTAATAAAAAAGAGAAAGAATTATTTAAAATTTATTATTTTAAATATCTTCTTCTGACTTATTTTTTAATCTTTAGTGCATATCTTAGTTTTAGGCAACCTTACGTATATAAGGTAATTAATTCGTGTTCGTAGATACTTATTTAATTTTCATGAAATAATGCGACACCCGGAGCGACTCGTACAATACTTTCGTACCACCCTCTAAAGTCGCCGAGCGAATGCCGAAGTGATGACGTAGTCAACTACCGCGACGCGCGGCGCGGCACGCTCCCCCACCATGCTCGCCACGTGACACGCTCCCCCTAGTTGTTCACCGGCCGCTCACCTTCACCCCTTCACTGCTTCACTCGTCATCCGGCGCTCCGCCGCGTCGTACGCCGTTCGAATATCCAACTGTCGCGTATGAAGAATATTCACGGTTTATTTAATTATTTTATATTTTACGTGATTTTGATAAACGGGTATCGTCGTACCCGTATATAAATATTTCGCGCTTTGCTTTTGGCATCTCTGGCATTTGTTCAATCCTTTTACTTGAACGGTTCTTTTAAACGTAATTAAAATAAGCTATTATCAGTTTGTAATAATTTTTTATTACAAGAAATCCGTACAATGTGCACAATATTTTTAATAAAAGATTAATGCATTGCGGCTTTTTGTAACTTT